TTTGTGACTTAATTGTTAAGTAATAATAATTTGTTTTTATAGTATGATATATTTTAACTTATATTCTTACTTTGTAGGATGTGCATGTTAACACTTTTCTCCAAAACGCATCGTTTGTGACGTCAATTGGAGATATTATCCGGTCATTTAGCAAGCAAGTCGACAATGTGAGCAACAACGTCGAGGAACACGATGATGGGGACGACAATTAGTATATATTGCTTTATGTTATGGATGATATTATTATAGATTTAGATGATGTTAATGTGATATATTTTAATGTTATTTGATGTTTTATGTATTGTAGATTTTAAATTATAAGTTTTATAAGTTTATAAATTTTGTGTTTTATAATATAAACTAATATACAATATATATTTTATCTTAAAAAAAACAAGCATCAGTGGAAACACTTTAGGGACGATCTTAAGCATTAGTGACGACACATCCTACTGGAATATTTGGTTGGAGTAACACTGGTCGATGACCGGAATATTATTAGGGATGACACCTTTAGGGACAACGAATGCTATTAGCGACGACATGTATTAGGGACGACATTTGAGTATTAGCTACGAGGTATTTGCGGCGACCCAATTGACGATATGTCGTCCCTAATACCTTTAGGGGCAACAACCTTGACTATTTGTAACACATTTTGTCATCCTTAAAGGTGCATTTTCTTGTTGTGAACATGAATTCTGTATTTTATGCAATTTTATTACAACAATTTATGTCATTTTATTATTGCATTTTAGCATCATTTAAAAAAACAATGCATTAGCGGACGAGGCATATTATCAGCAAAGGCGTACAGTTCCGGCGACGAACGTTATGCCTTTAATCGTTAATATCGGCGACTATGTCTATTAACGGTGACATGTATTATCGGCGACAAAATTAATACCAACGACGAGATATAGGGCTTTAGTGATGAATGGATTATTAGTGGCTACTTAATAGCAACACCATTTCGTAGGTAATATCTTTAATTAGTGATGATTTTTAGGGTCTTAATTTACCGACAATAAATATCGCCGATAATTTTTTATTATTATTTTTTTTTGGTAATGCCTCTTCCTTCTAAATTAGGGGTGAACATTGGAACAAGGTACCCATTTTAGGAACCGGAACTATCATGGAACCGCCGATTCTGGAACCGGAACCACCTTAGGCAGTTCCGGTTCCGGTTCCCAAAGTTTTGGGACCGCTTTATGCGGTTCCGGTTCTTTGTTTTTTGGAACCGCTAACCGCTGATTAATCCTCGACATATATATATATATATATATATATATATATATATATATATATATATATATATATATATATACATATAGTAATTTTAACGACATACACAGTTATAAAAAACTTATTGAGTAGTTTGATTTGTTATTGTATAAGTGTTATTTTGATGTAAATTAATTAGTTTCAAATTTAACATCAAATTGATGTCTGCACACAAAAAATGTTAGTACGTCTAGATGATTAATTTTCCATCTAAATGAGTTACACATGCTTTTTAGAGTTATGCTACAGTTATTGTTCGATTCTTACTTCTTGATGCATAATGAATGACTAGTTTGATTTTATTTATAATTATTTTTTTGTAAGCATGCAAAATATATAGGTTTTTCAAGATATTAAAAGTCTAAAAAACTAACGAACCGGGTACCCGGTTTTGGAACCGCTATCCGTCGGTTTCGGTTCCGGTTCCGGTTCCAATATTTTAGGAACCGGTATCACTGGTTTAAACTTTCTAGGAACCGTCGGTTCTGATTCCGTTTCTGGTTCCGGTCAAATATGGCGGGTACTCACCTATGCTCACCCTTATTCTAAACCGCTAACAACACGGTCAATGATAGTCACATTGTTTTATTATTGAATTAGTTTATAACCCGTAGGAACTACAGTTAGAAAATTAATTAAACTTTTTAAGTAAAAACTCAAAACTATTAATTAATAATTTTAAATAACTTATTAATAAAGAGATATTATGTTAGTTATATATAAAATTATAATCGTTGATTCAAATAAATACATAAAATATATTATCTTATAATTTGTATAAATTTTATTTTTTATAATTTATTTAATTTTATTTTATTTTTATTCTAATGTTATTAATTTAATATAATTAAAATAAGATTTAAATTTTGAAATTTGAAATTTGAAATGGAGAATCAATCGATTAAGAAGTATTATGATATTAATTACAATGTATAATATGATGATATTTTACAAAAAAAAAACTATATTATTGTTTTTATCTTGCGGTCCTGATCAATAAATTAATAATTAATATTGAAAACATTTATACCCAAGGAATTTGTGTAAGAGTATAGAAATAAAGATTTCACACAGAAAGTAATTTGTCATTACATCAAAACAAATATAATCATTTCATTTAACAAATTAGAAAATAAATATCAATTCGATGTTTATAAACCTTGGCACCAGCAAAAAAATGGAAAAAACAACAAAAAAGCAACGCATCCTCTCTCATTCGTAATTTGCATGTAACGATAGATAATATACTATGCATGCTGGTGTTGTTTTCAAGCATGTTAATAGTTGACCACATTGCATTTGACCCGGATTTCACCATCATCTTGAGATTTGAAGTCAAGAATATTTGCAAGCTTCACCATGGATACACTGAATTGGTTGGAGAAAAGGGAAGAATCGAAAGACAAAGCATCAGCAATCGGTTTAGTCCTTGAATCTCCATAAAGCAATTGGTCCGTAGACAATAGCCCCATCTTCTTCTTAAGATTTTGATAGTACTGCGTGTCGAATTTATGTGGGGTCGTAGCATCAAGATACACATCTTCAGAAGCCCATCGACATTTTCTCCTTAAGTAGTTCAAATACTGAGGATCGATTGATGGGTCTGGTTTCTTTGTTCCTTTGTAGTCGTAGAGCCTATATTGCACTGATTCACATTTACTCCTTCCAATCGTATGTGCACCTACAAACCAAAGAACAACCGTAAGTAATGACATTACTTCAAGTCAACCATCTTGAAACCTAATGAATAGTACCTGACAGGACAACCAAATCGAGAACATTCAGACCCTTGGACTGAAAAAACTCGATAAGATTGGTAATACTTTCACGACCCATGGGGACCTTTGCAGCTTCCTTCGCTAGGGAAACTCGACCATCTTTCCTTCCAAAAGGGATTGTCCAAAAAGGTCCACCAGCTAGAACAGTGGCATCTCTGGCAGCTGCCGTCAAGATGTCAGCACAAGAGACGGTTTTAGGGCATTTCTTCTCAACTGCCGCTTTGATGTCGTTGATCACTTCAAACCCTCGTAACGACTTGCTAACATTCGCCGACTTTTCACTTCCTTTATGGTCCAGAAGTATCGACGCATCACATCCCTACAAAAACAACGTAAATACATGGTACCAAAAAATGTAACTAAGTAATGAAAATCGAGATATTTACTTACCCTAACCGCACAATCGTGAAAATGCAGTCTCATGAGACTAGGAGCAAGAGTTGGGTCCTTCTTAACCCATTCCTTAACTTTCCTATAGATGATGCCTTCAACCCCACTACAACTGTGCTGATACAAAGAGTAGGAAAGATCGTCCTCGAAAGACGAGATGTCTGGTAGCCTTGGTACTTTGAGAGGATGCAACAGCGATGGAAGGTTGGAGGCCGAAGCTGACAGGAAAAACATGATCGCCAAGAAGGAGAAAACAGTAGCACCAGTCTTCATGGTTGCTGCCTACGATGAGATAGATCAGTCGCTATGTATTGTGTTATATATACCGGTTGATAAAAAGTTACGTGAAGCCCACCATTCCCATTATACCATCAACGTGCCAACATGGAATCCTTTAAATAATAAGGTTACCCTTTGGCTCGATGTTGCAGTTGAGTCTGACTTCGCAACTGAATAATGTTATATTTCGTTTTATATTAAAAAAATCATAACATTATAAATTGATGTAATCGTGTATTTTCTTACTTATGGAGCTATAAAAAAAATAATTTAGAATAAAATCTATGAAAGTCAAAACGTTTGTGACGAAGATTATGGTATCGTATTTACACATTTTTATGTTATAATATTAATTAAAGAGACAAATCAATCTTTTGATTGGAATAGAAAAACAAAGAATAATTTAAAAAGTAGATTAAATTGTGTTTATCTAAAAAAAGAAAAAGAAAGGATTAGAATTAAGAGTGTTTGCGGAATACCATTGCAGTTTAGAGTCAAAACCGCAAACTATATTGTATATGCTGTTTGAGTTTATTGGAAACCGCAAACAGCACTGCGAAAGTTTTAAACCACGTTTTGCAGTACGGTTTTGGTGCGAACGATTTATATGTTTTGCGTGCGGTTTGATATTTTTCATATGTTGTTTGCCTTTATAACTTTTTCACATTTAAAAACAATTAATGATATGATATGCTCCAATTTTAGTTTGCTAATTGACTCCATACATTGCAAATTCCGTAAGTTGCAAGAATTCTTATATAGATATTAAGAAGGTCCATCCTTAGGAATAGTGAACATGTTGTTCTTTTGGCACAGACGGTCCTTTGTTTATGGATGTGTTTCCAGTTGGTTTTAGTTTTTATTATGGGGCATTTTATGTCATTTTGTATATTCTTGATGATTACGTGTTCTTACACCACCGCTAGTTTTTGACAAGACTCCATACATTGCTTCCTCCTTCTGTTTCTTCTGTATCTCAGTTCCACTGACAATCTAAACCAATAGACATTGGATTGGTGTCTATAAGTCGGTGTACTCTACCAACAAAACCCTTGGTTATCTCAGATCCTTTTTATTCTCTTTCCCTATCCCACTATTCTTTCCGATCACGTATATATTTTGTGTCCATTGAAGAGGCGTATTTTAGCCCCGATTTATCTTTTCTCTTACTTCTGTCTTGTATTCCTCTTCCCTATTGCCCGATCAAAACAAAAGAAACGGGTGGAGATAAGAGGGATGATTGGTTGTGGTGTTAATGGGGTAAACGAAGAGGCACCGTATCAGCAACGGGCGTCGGTGGAGGGGTCTGCCATTCATCTTCACTTAGGTGTCGCGAGCAGTAGCAGTGAAGAAGAAGGGGGTGTTCGGTTGGTTTACTTCGACGGTGGTTGAACAGTACGTGAACGAGGTTCAATCAGTGGGAAGAAAAGGTTTCCGATGGGGCCAAAGAGAAGGAAAAGGAAAAAGAGGCTTGGTCTTGGTGGCGATCAACGAGCAGGGGTGTGGGGATGGACACTCAGCGGCGGCAGTTGGCGGCTCTGCCGCTTCTTCCTCTTCTTTTCTAGTGAGGTGCGAATGAGAGACAAGGAGGCTGATGGGTACAAGTTTCTTCCTTCTTCTTCTTATTTTGACTTATTTACTATAAACCAATGAAGTTTAATCTTCAAATGGTTTTTTTTGTTTGATTTGATTTCAATATACATAATGGATGTTTGCTTCTTTGAGAAGTTTACTTTTTGCATATTGGAATTTGAACATGAGCAGGATCCGATGTGGCCACTAGGTGTACACACAAGTATGTGCATCATGTCACTTAATGTCACTGATTTCATATCGTGACTTGGTGGGAGTTGCATACGCAGAGGAAGAAACAAAAGAAATGACTGTTGAAATTAAAGTGGAAGATGGTCCAAATGATGAGGGCGAAATGTTTACACGCCCTGGTAAACTCAGCGATCGCTTCCCTCAACCTTATGCAAACGAACAGGCTCCTAGGTTTGCCAATGGTGGAGCCTACCCTCCAGATCTCAGTCTTATTACCAAAGTACCCTCTTCCTTCCAATTTCAATTTCTTCTACTGATTTTCATAGTCTCTTTTTTTTGTTGGCATGTAGTTCAATCCTTCCTATCAAGTTTAAGTTATCAAGGGCAAAATGGTCTTTATGATTATATATATATATATATATATATATATTTGACAAAAGGGATGTTAAAGTTAACCACACAAGGACCTAAATCAATATCAAACATTGCTATAACAGATATTGTTCGATGCCTAAATAACCTAGTCTTGGGCATCTACCATTATAGCCATAATGGTCGGCCATCCCTATATTATTTATTTATTTATTTATTTATTTATTTTTTAAATTATGCATGAACGTTGGATTAATTTTCAATTTTAGAAGTGACCTAACAAAACTTGGTAATTAATATGTTACTTTAGAGCTTTTCTGCGTATGTACTCATATTTTATTCAATTTGAAATAACACATTTTCAGGTCTTAGAAAACCGAAGTGTGACCTTAGATGTTGTATATGCGATAAATACTGATGATGTTATGGTTCAAGATGTCATTGGTGAAAAGGTAAAAAGGATCAACTCTTTTTTTTGGGTTATGAACTGATGCATATGAGATTATTAACTTTGTGTGTATGTATGTGTTTGTGTGTGTGTTCAGCTTGGAATTTTTATACATTATAAGGCGACATTTGACTCTCGATTTATGGTGGGATTCATAGCAGTTTAGCTTTATAATTCTCTTTGGCATTGCTTAATGGGTAAATAGGTAATCTTATAGTTTTCATACCATTTTTTAAAAATATAAGCATTATATCCAAACACAAGAATTGGTAATAGAGGCAAGTCTGTCACACCCCAAAACCAGAACGACGGAAACGTTCTGGGGTGGAGCACGTCATATATAGTATCAGAACAAAGCATAATAGTAAACAACCAACAACATCATCCATTGCATTAATAATATAATTTAATACATGTGTGTTCTGTATAGTTTATAAGACACAAAGAATATGAATCAAAATAAGTGATGACTCTTGAACGTGCTCCATCTTCTCAAATCCTGGCATCGGTACCTGTCTACTGATGACTTGAGAATACAAGTTATTTTGAAAGAGTTGATCATCTTTAAAGTTGGTGAGTTCATAAGCATTTAGTGTCATTGTTTGTATGAATATGTTTGTAAGTGTTTGATGTATAAGTTTGTAAAATGTTTGTAGTAAATTTTTGTATCTCCTAGAAAATCCTATATTTTCTACTAAAAGTATCCTACTACCAAGGCATCAAATGTTACGTATGTTTGTTTCTTTTAAAAGCGTGTATTTTTCCCAAGTATGACTATCATTAACAAAATATAGTTTTTACATTACCGTTTATGTGAGAAGATCACAATGTGAATGCAATGGGAAATAATAAAGTACTGTAGTGTTGTATTATAATGACTACTGTTATACTAACTACCTTAAACCAATTGTTAATTAAGGTATACTGTGATATAATTGTAACCATACTTGATCGACTTAGTAAAACACGACGCTCAAAGATGGGGAAATGGTATGACATTCGTCACCCATAGACTTGTAGGTCCCACTGTATCTAGCAGCAAGGTGTAGGACGGTCAGTCCCGTATAGGTCTATACACAAATTCACGCTCTCCCTCCAGGAGACTCTGGTTAGAAAACGAGCCATGGCAGTGATGCGATGCCCTGAAGTAGTGGCTTACATTTATGTTATTGTATTCTTGTATATGTATTGTATGTACTAGTGCAGTGTATGTTCTCTTTGTCTAGTATGTAGTATGTTCTCTTTGTTTCTCATCATAGTATGTTCTCTTGTATAGTGTATAGTATGTATTGTTTCTCGTTATAGTATTATCTATTTGTTTCTCTTTTATAATGAGTATTGTTTCTCGTTATAGTATTCTCTATCTATTTCTCTTTATAGTATGTATTGACTCATGTATGAACTGACTCTTTGTATGTTTCATTGTACTAGAAATAGTGAGTAGTGACTTCCTAAACTATACCTATTATAGTTTACTTGTAGAGTTGTTTGTATGCCTGAGTGTGTTCAATTGAGATAGAAGCTTTTATGTCTATACATATATACACAATATATAACTAAGGATCAACTACACACGGACAAACAACAGAGTTCTCTAAGTCCACAACTAAACAAGGAACAAGAAATAAAGTGTGTTATCAGTCCTAAGTCCTTCCAACCTTACTTATATAACTACATGTACATTAGACATGGTTCTCACAATATATAAGTTTAAAAGGGTTAAAAGAAAAGGTTAGGCATACAAGAACAAGTTTGATAAAGAGTTTAGTATGTAAAAGAGTTTGATAAACATTTCGAAGTAATTTCCTTGATAAAACAGTTAAAAGTATAGTAAATCCATTTATTTGATAGTTATTAATCACATGTGATTGATATAATAACTATAATGTTTCAACTTGTATTCCTCCCATAAAAGCATTTAAAATCATTTAAAATGTAGATTAAGAGGTATGAACTCAACTGTAGTGAGTGGTTTGGATGAACGAGTGGTATATCATGCTAAGTGTCAAGTGAAGACTTGAGCACAAACACGGATCCTATTTATTATATAATGATACATATATGTATACAACTAGTGTTTAAACAACTAATTATGCAGGGAAAGACACCCTAGGTCATAGAAAACACTTAGATTAAAGTGCTAGAAGTACTGAGGGTTGCATATAATGGGTGTATGGCCACACATTAGTGTTTACGGCCAAGAGGTTGTGTCTCATGGTGAAACATGCCATTTAGTGATTTAAAGTCCTCTTAAGCATCTAGGTAGTGTGTCTTGACCAATACTTGACCTTAATGAAAGTTAAATGCCATTTTGGACCTTAAAAAGGGTGTGTATAGTCATACAAGGAGTGTGCGGCTGTACACCCTTGATAATCATGTAAATATGGTCAAAAGTGTATTACAAGTCTCTATCTTGCAT